GGTGCATGCCTTTAACCCCAGCACAGAGGGAGGTGATTTCGTTGAGTTTGAGGCAAGCCTGGTGTACAGAGTTCCAGGATAGCCAGTGCTACACAGAGAAACCCCATCTCAAAGAACAAACTCCCTGACAGACTGTGTCATTATATGACTGATGACTCGTGTGAATGTGAGCGCACACTCTTACACACAAATATAAAGAAAGTCTTTGTTCAATTACTTTGACATAGCTGATTCTACTTGAGTATGATTAAATTTCTTTCTTCTTCTTCTTTTTTGAGACAGAGCTTCTCTTATGAAGCCCTGGCTGTCCTGGAACTTGCTCTGTAGACCAGGCTGGCCTTGAACTCACCTGCCTCTGCCTCCCGAGTGCTGGGATTAACGCCTGGCATGATTAATTTTGTTAGCACACATTGGCTTTCACGGGCCTGTCACTGAAGGCTGCTCATGTCCACTCTCTCCACCTCCTCTGTTCTCCTCCCTTGCAGTCCCTTTCTGCTTGTCCTATGAATGAGGTTCACACTAGGGAAAACGAGATCCACGGAGGAGAGAGAACACACAGTCCACGGCCCTTCACCCACAGATCCCATGGAGGAGAGAGAACACACAGTCCACGGCCCTTCACCCACAGGGCTGCCCCCCACATTCGTGCCCTGTATATATCTGGAAAGATTTAGATTCTGCATGTGAGAAAATGGGTGGCATTTGCCTTTCTTTTGTCCCCATTACCCTGCTGTTTCCCAGGACCACCTCGACCTTCCTATCTCTGGCTCTCCTCTTCCTTAGAGTGCATGAAAGAAAACACAGGACACTGTCTCCATAGTAACTCCCTGCAAGATGGAGAGTCAGCAGAGGGTTTCTCCCACTCTGGAGACTGCTGTTTCCTTTGTTTGCGGAAGGGGTTTACTTCACCATTTGTCACCTCTGGCTATTATTTACTAGGCTAGTAGTCTCTTGTCAGTTTCAGGTCTTAGAGAGAAGATTTTTATCACTTTTGCATGAGGTGAAAGACAAGTTAGTTCCAGCCCTCTCCGTGTTGGATATGTAGACTTGGCAGCACCTTTCATTTGAAGAAGCGCTCTCTTCTCCAGTGCCTATGCTCGAGCATCTTTGTTGAAAACCTGGTGGCTGTAGCTGGCCTCTGTGCCAGTGATATGCTGTCGCTGTTCCTATGGCTCTGTGGTGTACTTCAAGCCAGGAATTACAAAACCTCCCCCAAATTGCTCTGTCTACTTAGGGTTGCTTTAGCTACTCAGAATACTTTGTCCTTGCATGCAAGTTTTAAGATTACCTTTAGCTCTATAAAGAATGTTAATGGAAGGTAATAATAATGACACTATTTCCAGACTGCTTTTAGGAATACAGCTATTTTCACAGTATTAATTTTGCAATCTCATAAGCATGGGAGATCTTTTCTGTCTTCTTTAGTGCAGTTTCTTTTTAATTGTAATATTTTTCATATTTATTTTTATTTGTGTGTTTCTGTGTACATTTGAGTGTCCATGAAGACCAGAAGAGGATGTCAGATTCCCGGGATCTAGAGTTACAGGTATTATAAGCCACCTAATGTAGGTACTAGGAACTGAACCCAGGTCCTCTGAAGAGCTTTATGTGCTCTTAAAGAGACATTCATTGACCCGGTGCTGGTGCTACATGCATTTAATCCCAGCACTGGGCCAGCCTGGACTATAGAGTTCCAGACAGCTAAGGCTACACAGACAAACCCTGTCTCAAAAAAACAAAAGAAACAAACAAAAAGAGCCATTCATTCCACCCTATCGCAGTGTTTTTAAATTTTCCATTGTGAAAGTATTATTTTTTTTTATTAGGTTTATTCCTGGCATGCAGGGGCAGGGAGTATATTGGTTTCTTTGTTACTGTTGCACTAGGGACTGAACTCACGGTGTGAATGTGCTAGTTTAGTACCCAGCCTCCCCAGGGATGTGTGTGTCTATGTGTATGTGTGTGTGTGTCTGTGTGTGTATGTCTGTGTATGTGTATGTCTGTGTATTTGTATGTGTGTGCATGTGTGTGTGTGTGTGTGTGAGTGTATGTCTGTGTGTTTTGAGACAGGATTTGTAACAGGTCTGGCTGTCCTGGAACTCACTCTGTAGAGTGGGCCGGCCTCTGCCTCCTGAGTGCTGGGATTAGGCTGTGCGCACCATCGTCCCTGTCTGGGACATCCATCACTGGTGTGAGAAAACACTGGTGATCTGTTTTTACTGTGTTTTGTCTGCACATTAACACATGTGCCTGTGCACCGCATGCTAGCTTAACATCCATGCAGGAGGAGGAGGAGGGTGTCAGGTCTCCTGAACTTCAGTAACACGGTCATGAACCGCCATGCGGTGCTGGGAACCAAACCTGGGACCTTCAAGAGCAGCTGGTGCTTTTAACAGTGGAGGCAGCCCTGGTTAAACTGTTTTTATCTTCACTTTAGTTAGCCCTACAAGCGATCTGTTTTTACTACCTTTATGAGTGTCTGTTTCTTTAGCAAACTGAAATCTGAGCCTTTCATTTTCAAACACAGGCCATGTTCTAAGAATGCATTTGACAATGGCACTTCAAGTCATTGCTCCTCTCCACCCTCTTGGGATTGGGCATAGGGCCTTATGCACATTATGCAACTTTCTATCACTGAGTGACATTCCAACCTGTCTTTTTACTTTTAATTTGGAGGGAAGGTCTTATCAAGTTGCCAAGGGTGGTTCTAAATTCACTCTTTAGCACAAGCAAATGCTAACCTGGTGATCCTCTTGCCTCAGCCTCCCAAGTAGCTGGGATTACTAACCTCAGCCACCAGACCTGGCAGCCTCTTATATTATGAAATGTTTGTTTTATATAAGTGCATTATCATGCCTTTTATTGCCCAAGAAAAGTATGTGAGAACTCAAACTAGCATTCCTGTGTTAGGCAAACAAAATGCTATTTTAGTGAGAATATACCTTATTCAAAGTATTACCTAGTAATTCTCAGGACTTGTTACCTAGTGTAATACCCCAATTTTTGTCTCTATCGTATTAATCCAAGCTGTTCCTTCTTTTAGTTGGTTTTCCTAGGGCTTGTCAATGTATCTTTTCAAAGGACCAGCTCTTTGACTTATTGTACTGTCTTTTTTTTTAAAGATTTTATTTATTTATTTATTATGTATACAATATTCTACTTCCATGTATATTTACACACCAGATCTCATAACAGATGGTTGTGAGCCACCATGTGGTTGCTAGGAATTTAACTCAGGACCTCTGGAAGTGTAGTCGGTGATCTTAACCTCTGAGCCATCTCTCCAGCCCCTATTGTATTCTTCTTAAGGCTCCAATTCATAAGTTTCTTTCCTGATCCTAATTATTTCTGTCTGCTGGTTTTTGGTTGGTTAGGCTTGTTCTTGTTTTTCTATGACCTTGAAGTGCATCATTAAACCCAATGTTATTTCCAATACCTATGTTTTTTAAAGCAAGAACAGTTTATTGAGTACATTTTGCAAGAGGGCAGTGACTAGCATGATGAATGTAACATGGAGCTGGCTCTTGATGCCTGCACAGCTATACATATCTTCATAGAACTGCCTTCATAGCATCCCAGAGGTTCAGATAACTAGTGTTTTCATTTTCATCGGCTTCTAAGAATTTTTTATATTTCAGTTCTAATTTCCTCAATGACCCACTGTTCATTCTTAAGTATGTATAGTGTGTGTGTGTGTGTGTGTGTGTGTGTGTGTGTGTGTGTGTGTGCTTTTTCATTCACATGTATACACAAAGACACCAACTCAGATGTTATCTACTTTGTTTCTTTTGAAGGGTCTGTGTAGTCCTGGCTGTCTTGGAACTCACTCTGTAGACCACACTGGCCTCAGATTCACCGAGATCCGCCTGCCTCTGCCTCCTAAGTGCTGGGATTAAAGGCGTATGCCATCACTGCCTGGCTCATCTTGCTTTCTTATACAGACTAATTAAACCTGCCCTGGGAATGGCACCACCTACAGTAAGCTAGAGCCTCCAGAATCAATGAACAATCAAGTCAACCCCACTAGACATGCTTACAAGACAACCTGACCAGTTAATTACTCAAAGAGGCTCTCCTTCCAGATGCCTCTAGGCTCTGTCAAGCTGATGGTAAAGCTAACCAAGACTAGGACTAGGGCTGTCTTCCACTCTCAGGCCTTACACCATTGCTGGTGAAGTGCATTTCTCGTAGGCACGCTGCTTTTCATGTATGTTGGACAATATATGTGCACTATGTGGAGACACAGTGCTGTGACTGGTTTATTATCGAGTTGAATGGCCAGTAGGGAGGCAGGAGATGATACAGGAGGGACTTCCAGGCGTGAGGGGGGGATGGGATGTGGTGGGGTGGGGGGATGGGGTCATTCAAGAGATACCAGGAGACACAGAAGTAGGACATGTGATATGTAACAGAACACTGATTAAGTTAGTTGTAAGAGCTAGTTAGGAACAAGCCTAAGCTATAGGTCGAGATTTCATAATTAATAAGAAGTCTCTGTGTCATTATTTGAGAGCTGGCTGGTAGAACAGAAAAAGACTCATCACACATGTAAATAATTATCCTGTTACTCATGTATACCTAACCAAGGTGGCTGCAACAGGCTGCTGTCCACTTCCTAGTACTAGTCTCACCAGACCTTTTAGCGAGTGTTCCTGGGATCTCATTACCTGATACAAAATGAACAAAAACTAATAAGCTTTCCAAACTGACCTGTCTTCTTCCAACACATTATGGAAGGTCTGACAAAGGGGGCATCAAAGCACAGCCCGACAACATGCTCTGTCCTTAACCCTCCACTCTGCATCCTCACTGCCCTACCCTCTGTCTAATACAAGAAAAACAACGAGCTGTATCTCAAATGCCAAAGGCACGAACTACGAGGTTCACACAGGATCTTGGTATCTTACTAACTTAAGTATAGATGTGTAAACGAATGAGTACATACACATGTAAGTGAGAAAAGACAAAACATTCTGAATGGAGATAAATGATTGACTTACCTTGTCTCAGGGTTGTAGCCTAATATGTAGAAAAATGAGTCCACTCGGGCTTTAAACTCTCGAGCAGCAAATATGTCAGAAAAATGGGAGATGTTACACTTCCCTCTGGGGAAAAACCAAAGACAAAAGGTATGTTTAAATTAGTTGATTTGCAAACCAAAAATGCAGTTGGAAAGGGTGAGGGTGAGGGTGAGGGAAGCACATGCCTAAAGCCAGAATGTATGAAAAATACAGTTTCCATGCTTGACTGGCAATGGTTTTTGTTTAATGAATGCCTCAGTATTCAACCTTGTATCATAACTGCCTTTACTTCACACTTTGAGATAAAGTAGAAACAATTAAAGCACAAACACAAACTGGGAAGTGAGCTGTGGTGGCTAGACAACCATGGCAGGTGAGTGATGATCTAACAGTGGCCATCTAACAGTGACCATCTAACAGTGATCATCTAACAGTGACCATCTAACAGTGATCATCTAACAGTGACCATCTAACAGTGATCATCTAACAGTGACCATCTAACAGTGGCCACTAACAGTGATCATCTAACAGTGACCATCTAACAGTGAACATCTAACAGTGACCATCTAACAGAGACCATCTAACAGTGATCATCTAACAGTGACCATCTAACAGTGATCATCTAACAGTGAACTGTATGCAAGCCTAGGCTGCCAAGTGACACTGTCTCAACAAAACCCCTAGAATACTAACAACAAAAGATGGTCTTGAGGGAGAGCTCTGATTGGATGAATTTATGCAAAGTAGAAACAAGGAGAAAAATTTGAAATAATCAGGGAAATACATGAAAAAAATTCATTTTAAACTTTTTCTGAAGCAAAATGAGTCTTTTCTTCTGACTACACTGACAGACAGAGACCATAACTATAGGCCTACTGATGACACCCAGCATCTCTTTGGATACACAGTTTCTGGTCACTAAATCTCCTTGCTTAACATGGAAGAGAAAAACTTTCCTGAAAATTAAACTTGAGAAATCTAGATTTCCACAAAAATGGGCTCCAGTATATGAATAATTCCCAACTTCCAGGCAGTGTCATGTGACTACAGGTTGGAAATCACTTCCACATAAAGTACCACAGAAGGGAACAGCACCATCTCTAGGTGTGACCCTCAGGCAAGGTCTATCATCCTATATAGCCAAAATCTATGAGATACTGCAGAACCAGCTGAAAACCACTTCCAGCCACCAGAGCCCCAAGGCAATGCTAGAAACACCCTGGCACACAATAGGCCCATGTATGTGTCTCTCTCTCTCTCTCTCTCTCTCTCTCTCTCTCTCTCTCTCTCTCTCTCTCTCTCTCTCCAGGAGAGTTTGGACAAAATTGTGATGGCTCAAAAGCAAGGTATTATCTCAGTGTGTGGTGGGGTAGATGAGAAGGGGCTGAGTGTTAAAAGAGAATTTCCGGGGCTGGAGAGATCGCTCAGAGGTTAAGAGCACTGGTTGCTCTTCCAGAGGTCCTGAGTTCAATTCCCAGCAAAATAAAATCTAAAAAAAAAAAAAAAAGAAAAAAAGAAAACTGCCATCATTTCCATCTGTTTTCAGAGATTTCTACGGTCCTGTCGCCCCAATTTCCAAAGCAGATCTTCACTGTTAACAGAATGCAAGTAAGGGCAGGAAACTTCCACATGCAATCACCCACCACTGAAGGAGGCAACCTAGAGAAGTCTCACCGCAGCTGTGGTGGTGGCACACACCTGTGACCCCAGCGCTAGGGAGGCTGAGCTAGATGGTTGCAAGCATAGCAAGTACATAGAAAAACCATCCTCAAAACCCAGGAGGGCGGGATCAGTAACCCTTCAGTGGGGTGTCCGGAGTGTTCCCGCTGATACACTCTGGGCTACACAATGCAGGAAGGCCACATGCTTCAGGATAAACAGTGAGGACAGAGCCTTCCATATCACAAGGGAGGGAATATGAATAAAAACCACGACATACAAACTGACTCCTTTAAATTATCAATAATGAGGAAAGTCTTCCCATTCCTGAAGATTACGTAAAACAAAAGGAAACTCTTGAGTGGAAGCACAGAATTCACATCAGCATGTCTGTGGAGAGCTGCTGTGAGCCATACTAGGTAACATAGTCAATGAAGGACCTTGAGAGAGATGCCTTTCTATCCCAGGCTACCAGGTTAAAGTAGAGAAATTTTATGGAATTACTTTCTCAGTTTCACTGCCTTCCTATGAGCTCTGTGGACATTCATAGATTTGCATCCTGATTTATGGTTTGTATTTAAGTAGATGTCTGTGTAGTTTTCATGGTGGTTTTTCTAGGTGTGACAACGTACACACAGAAATTACCATAGTGCTGGGTCCCAACAAACACTCCCAACTCTAGGCAGTGCAGAAATCCTACTTGACCACAGAGCCCTTAAACAAAATTGACCTAAATACTTCACTATCCAACCAGGACAAAAGTCAGTACATCCTTTAGACTTGTTTTTTTGTTTATTCATTCTTTCATAAGGTAAAAATTCATTCATTAAACATTCTTAAATTTGTTTTACTGATGTGTTTAGTGAAACTAATTTCCCTTTGAGCATTTCTTAAATGCATGCCAAGAATATATGGCATTTTTATTTTCATTTCTACAATCTTCTTTTCTTTTAGCTTGTACTGTTCCTTACATCAGAAGTTGTTTTAATAGGCAGTATTAAATTTCTAAGTGTAGAGGGCTTGTATTCTTTTGTTTTTCATGGTAAGCTACTAATTTACAGATAGACATTTTTGTCTTGAAACAATATACAAGCAACTTTTAAGAATGTGACAAAGTCCATAAGAAAGAATGTTCACGCTGGGCGTTGGTGGTACATGCCTTGAATCCCAGCACCCAGGAGTCAGAGGAAAGTGGCTCTCTGTGTCTGGATAGGCTTCCAAGCAATACAGAGAAACCCTGTCTTGAGAAATGAAGGGAGAAGGAAGAAGGAAGAAGGGGGGGGGAGAATTACCCAGAGTGCAAAGTTCAACAGTTTTACAATCAAGTGCTTAAGAATGAAAAAACTGAGGAAAGCTGGCTTTTGGAGCACACAGGTCACTATAAACCATGTAGAAAACATACGGTGTTCTCAGACAGAAAGTCAGCATGGCCTTTTCCCATCAGCTGGTAAACACATTCAACACAACCAAGGAGCAAATACCAGGATCTTTTCACAGAAGGAAACAAGTTAACAGCAAGGTGCATGTGGAAAAGCAAATGATTTTAAAGGGGAGAACTAGTGCAGACATAGGAGCACGTACTGAAACTTAGAATACAGAGCCCTTCATTTGCCAGCAGGGCAATAAGGTGCTAAATAATGTGTGGACAGACACAGCAAGGTGTGCTGTCCAGCAATGCACCACTCTGTGTCGACAAAGCAGTAAGGATGTTCTAAGTCAGCCCCAAAGGTGTAGCTGAAGCTGCAAGACAAAGAGCTCTGCAACACATGAAATTCCTTAGGGGATTCTCTATCAGGAAATTAATCCACTTAACCCATAAATGTAAAGACAGTTGCTCAGGCTGGAGAGATGGCTCAGAGTTTAAGAGCACTCGCTGATCTTCCAGAGGTCCTGAGTTCAATTCCCAGCAACCACATGGTGGCTCACAACCACCTCTAATGAGACATGGTGCCATCTTCTGGCCTGCAGGCAGAACTGCATACAAAATAAATGAATAAATGAATGAATAAATAAATAAATAAATAAATAAACCTTAAAAAAAAAAAAAAGACAGTTGCTCATGGCAAAGTGATGAGGTAAGTTTATGCAGGTGAACATAACGAAAACCAGAAACTCTGAATAATTAGTTAAGAATTCTTGGTCCTGAACTTTAGAAAATTTACCTTTCTAAAATATGAATTCTAAGGCAAGATGGTACCATATAGACTGAACTGCATTAGTATATTTCTTTCTTGTGACTACTAGATATAGGAGGGAGACTGTGAGCAAGCTGGAAAATAGTCCTCAAGTCAAGGCCATTACTTTTCTTTCTTCCTTTCCTTTCCCCTTCCTTCCTTCCTTCCTTCCTTTCTTCCCACCTTCCCTCCTTCCTTCCTTCCTTCCTGCCTTCCTTCCGTGTTTTGTATACAGGATCTCTATGTATGTATGTAGCCCTGGCTGTCCTTGAACTCACTATGTTAACCAGGATGGCCTGGAACTCACAGAGATCCACTTGCCTCTGCCTCCTGAATGCTAGGATTAAAGGTGTGTGTCACCACTGCCTGGCTCCATCAAGGACTTCCCGTACTGCCTTCCAGTCAGGGTACTTTGACAACACACATTCCCAGTCACAGGGCAATACTCCACACTGGGTGGGTGGGTGGGTGGGTGGATGGATGGGTGGATGGATGGCCACAGGACCTCACCCTTTCACTTCCTACACCACAGTCATGTGAACACCCAATCAATCCACCAACACCAAATATCGTCAGTGTTACCATAAGAAACTGTATTGTAAGCGTTTCTTTCTTGAACACTAATTTTATAGACCTTGTTGAGATTCAGTAACTGGAAAAGAACATTAGTGAGGTCACCTGTGAGTGCTTTCCACATGCCTGCTGTAATGCATGTTAAATGTTCAGGTCATGAAGCCAATGCTAGGTCACATGACCCTAGACAAGTGTCAAAAGGATGATACAAAAATCAACAAGTTTGATTCTGGTCACAAGGTTACGAAACAGCAGCCAAGTCATCCTGTTTCAATCTGGCACTTTTCACTAGTATGTCACAATGCCAACGAAAATGCAAACGTGAGCAGAGATTACTCAAGATGCTGGCTTGTGTGACGGCGGTGATGCCGAAGAGTCAGGAAGTGAGAGAGCAGGCACTCACATGAAATCTGTCAGAGACATAAAAGATGAGGCTCAAAACTGTCCCCAACATAGTAACACTGGCCTCAATACACAGTTCTCAACACAGTCCAGACTGAGAATAAATTCCTTTGGGGAAGGAAAACCAAAGGCTGCAGAGGAATTCTGTTTTCCTTTTGATTTATGGTGACTAAAGGACAAAGCTCTCCTATCTCTTTTATAACCCAACTCTAGCACCAGCTTGAAAGAGAAATATAGACATCAGCTTCATCCCAAGTGAATTGGACGTCAGAGCCTGGTCAATGGCTGCACACGGCATGAATCTGTGTAACTGAGTCCTTTGATCTTGGAAAGAATGGTGCTAAGAGCCAACGCTATGAGTCTTTTTCTTTTTCCTCTTTTTGTCCTTCTTTTTTTTTTCATTATAGTCATTTGATCCCCTTTCATGTGGCCATGAACTGCTTTATTTGTGTCTCCTTCAAAATTGAATTTATCTATAGTAGTGCTGGTTTACATGTGTGAGAACAGAAAGCATTCTTTCTGTGGGTGAGCTATAAAAAGAGAAACTGGCAGAAACAGTTGAATCTCAATCATCCATTACCTCTCATTCACCAAAATGTTTAAGCTAAAAGTACCCTAATTTTGGAGAAGAAAAAAAATAATGAACCGAGGTGACTAAGACTCTGCCACTCCATCCAGTTTGATGGATGGCATCCCAAAACATTTTGTGGTGAGCATACCATTACTGAGAATGGGGTAAGAGCCATATACTGAGCATCAGACTACGGCAAATCTTCAACAAGATTTATTACCAAGTGGATCATGTAGTGACAAAATGAGTGTGTACCATCCAGTCACCAGGTCACAAAGGGATGCTTCATTTAAGCCTAATAAAACAAAACTGGGATCTGGAGAGATGGCTCAGTGATGAAGGGCGCTGGCTGCTCTTCCAGAGCACTCTGGTTAACTCTCAGCACCCGTATGGTAGATCATATGTAACTCCAGTTCTAGGGGATGGCACCCTCAGGCAAGGACAACACCAATGCATGCTAAACAAATAAATAAAATCTTTTTTACAAAGGAAAAAGGGAGGGACGGAGCGGGGGAGGGAGGGAGGTTAAAACCGAAACTGGAAAAGTTTCCTTAATGAGAGGTGAAGACTACACTTATTTGTATTTGTACTTGTGGTTATCCAATACCAAATGATCATTCCTGAAATATCCATACAAATAACATTATCCAGACTGGGCAGTCTGTACTTACGTATTTAAGAATATACACAGTACATATCTGTATATAACAACAAACTAATGAAAAACAGCGGCCATGAATTTGAAAAAGAACCAGGAAAATATGCCATATGGGAGGCTTGGAGGAGAGAAAGGGAAGTGAGATGGTGTAATTATATTAATCTCAAAAAATAAACAACTTTTTTTTTTGGGGGGGGGTGTTGAGACAGGGTTTCTCTGTGTAGCTTTATAGACCAGGCTGGCCTCGAACTCACAGAGATCTGCCTGTCTCTGCCTCCCAGGCACTGGGATTAAAGGAGTGCGCCAATACCACCCAGCAAAACAAATCATTATTAAAAAATAGAGATGAAGGTTTTGTACCAGACCTATTAGTTTTCGGACAACTTTTAAGATATTATAAGATTAAAAACCTAACAGTCAGGAAGGATTCTAGTCAGACACCCTGGAAAAAAAAAACTGCGTATACTGCCACTAGAAAAGCCAACATTCAGGGGCTATGACAGTGGCTCGTGGCTTCTCATGCCCAGACTATCTGGGAATCCAAATCTATGTCCAGCTGGTGTTAAGGGAGATAAACTGTTCTTCTAAAAAACTAAAAATTAGGTGAGAATTATGTATCAAATCTGAATAGCATTAAGAAAACCCTCAATATATTCATTTTAAGCCATTATGTCAAAACACGTTGGACAACCAGTTACACCTGGACTCATTTCCTTAACTAGAACCTGAAGTCCTTTAAAATCATGACCTCAATCAGTGAGGAGATGGAAAGAACAGAAGGCAAATCAGGTCAAATGCTAAATTAGTCAGCTGTCCTCCATTAACCATTTGTTTACCAACCCAGTCAGCGTCCATTAACTTGCTTTCAGCAGCATGCAGGCTTAATTTAATCCTGGAAAGCCACCTTCAAACGATAGATGAGGCTTATGGGAATCTGAGGCTTATAAACCACCAGACAGTCTCAAAATGTAGCCAAAGTTCCAGAGAAAGTCAAAGTTAACACACGCACTCCTTCCCTGTGGGAGGGTTCGGCATACTATTGACCAACAAGTCACATGGCTTCATTGCAAGGTTTTACATAGTACAAGAGAACAATTTTAAATTTTTAAATGATTGAAGAACAGTGGACAAAATATTTAACAAGTGAAATATAAATAAAACCCTACTTTCCATTTTTTAAAAAAGCTTAACCACAGCGAACACATTTATTTATGTGGTTGTTCCACAGTGGCTAAGATGAATGAATAGCTGAGACAAAGGCCATTATGACATGTATCTGAGACCCAATATTTGCAAAAACCAGTCCTATATAAACGCCCCTGCCCTTCTGCATAAAGTAACCGGCTCTGTCTTTGCAGCTTTACGAGAGACCCCAGGCACTGTCCCTGAACATGTGGCAGGAGAGCATGATGTGAGAAAGGGTTACATCTCACTGTAAGTAGTTAGATAAAGCAACAAATCTCAATGGCTTTTACTTTACCCGTGTTCTTTAACAGAGATGAAGGGTTTTGTTGTTATGTGGCACACCTTATTATTTATGATTTACAGAGAGTAAAGAGCTATGATGTTAGCTACCATACTTCCTACATCACGTAAGAGGCTCCAAATCAGCCAGGCATGTAGACACTGTGAGTACAAGGTTGATGGGGGAAGTACTTCTGTGTATGTTTATCTTATTGATTGTTGAATAAAATACTGTTTGGCCAATGAGACAGCAAGTTAGATGGGACTAGAAGTCAAAGAGGATTCTGGGAAATGTAGTAGAGAAGTGATGATCCAGGCAGGAAGTGACATAGCAAGGAGACTCATATTTAAGCGAAGGAGAAACAGGAAGGGCCCCTTTTTCCTGTCCGCCCCCCCCAGCCGCAAGATGTGATCCACCGGCAAGGAGGGATGCCAATAAGGCATCTGATACGATAAGTCTTATAAAATATATAGATTTATGATAATTGAGACTGAGCTAACAGATGAGAATCCTAGTCATTGGCCAAGCAGCATTGTACCCAATACAAGTTTCTGTGTATTCATTTGGGCCTAACTCAGGCGGGCGGCTGGCGAAAAGCTTACATGTGGCGGTGGGGCTCAGCGGCTTTTGGCAGAAAGATTTATCTTAACACAAGGTGGCCGATCCTGCTCTGGAGAGAGCACAAAGTACAGAATAGAAGGCTGCTCTCATTTTACAGCAAAATTACATGACATCCCAACTGGATATGGTGTCCATTCTGTTTCAGACTATACCTCCAACATATTCCCCTATACTTCAGCATGCTTTTTAGTAAAAATATTCAGATATAAGAAGAACTAATAAAAATTTCTATAAACTCTTAGGCTTCTTATAATTAAAACATGCTAGCACATTTGTTTTATCTTTCTTTTTTTTTTTTCTTCATCTTTCTAGCAGTAGGGCTTGATCTTTACAAAGTTCACTGCAGATCTTCAGACTATTTCACCCTAAAAACTTCCATGAATAATACTGGGATATTAATTCTCCATAAGACACACTGATATAGAGTGTGTGTCAACATATCAGAAGGAAAGTACAGGGAGAGGCACAGTGGGCTAGCACAGATCCCAGCAGCCTCTGGGATCTCAGTAACCCCAACAGTGCAGCGTTAGCTGGGCAAGACCATGAGTTGTCTGACTGAATACAATTACCACCAAGCAGAGCAGGGCAGAGTCAGCTCCCACCCTCCAGACTCTGCCCCATTCCTGCATTCTCACCTCAGGGCAGCCGCATGGTACGTGTCAACATAATCAGAAATGAAGAGCTCCCGGTTCTTGATGACTGGATCTGTGATGACAAGCTCTCTTCCAGAGTCTACAAACAAAAGAAAAGAAATCAGTTAACCAAATAAGAAGATATTAAAAGTTTCCTAAAACAAGTAGGAAATTTTTCCAAAACTTTTTTCTGAAGCTTACCTCCTACTAAAGACAAACAACAACCCTACTTATTGTCAGAGCACTGCCAATAAGGAGAGGAATATGGCCAGGACTGGCAGAAGAACACAGTGCACAGTTCTGACAACAGAGGCTGTCAGCAGACCTTTGCCAGGCCCTTCTGTGTCCTGCAGGCCTGTAACAAGCACAATTTAAAGAGAGAGGAGCACACTGCCACATCCCAGCAACTTGTTAACTCTTTGAGAAGACAGAACTTCTTGATTGTATTTGTTTAATTGTGTTTGTGTACATGTGTATGTGCTTGTATTTGGACAATGTATGTAGTGGCCAGGACAACTTCTGAGAGTCAGCTCTTCTTTTCCACCATGTTGGTCTGGGGACTGAACATAATTGTCAGGCTAGGCAGCAAGCAACTTCACCGGCTGAGCAATTTTGTTGGCCTTAGGATATATGACTGACTATATAATATGAGAACCTGTCCATTTTATGTTTTCTATGTGTCTGTTTCTGAGTGACAGGGTCTCAGCACAGGACGGCTCTGACATTGCTGCGTAACTGAGGCTGCCCTTGAACTCGTAACCCTTCCTCTCCCTCCCAAGCTTTGGGACTACAGTATCCATCACCACATCTGGCACCTATCTATTTCCTTACTGCATGGAATGAAGCCACACACTGGCTAGACTGAAAAGAATTAAGATTTTTTAAAAAATAAGAAATCATAATTTACTTGATACTTATCTTTTCAAAGACACTTTTAAAGTCTATGAAAAGCTCACTGTGGCTGGGACCTATCAGAAGCAGTGAGTGGGTAACACGATAGAGTGTCCTTGGCTCCAGCGCAACCCCACAGCTTCTCTAAACTCAACCTCTTCACACAGAATGCCAGGGAAACCACCTCACACAGCCTGGCATAACTCAAGGCTGACTTCTAGGAAACATGTGGCACACAGCACATGTACACACAACTCATATGACACCAAAGGCAAGGGTGTAAATCAGCTGCCAGACACCGACACCCTCTGTCCTGAAAGCAGCTCCTAACCCACCTCCCAAAGTGTGACTCAGAAAGCTTTTTCTGAAAATGGGCTCTCTTCTGCCTGTGCCATGGGGAAGCACAGCATGCAAGCTCCTGGAAGTGCAAGGAACACAAGCTTAAAGGACTGTGGTTACTGCTAGTCACAAAACTAAATATAGGAGCTTAAAGAACTACATTCCTGCTATTTAAAAAAAAAATGTGCATTAGCACATACTCAGAAGGGTTTTCCTGATTTTTTATTTTTATTTTTTAATGTTTTCTTTTTTAAAGGTTTATTTACTTATTATGTACACAGTGTTCTGCCTGCGTGTATGCCTCCAGGCCAGAAGAGGGCACCATATCTCATTACAGATGGTTGTGAGCCACAATGTGGGTACTGGGAATTGAACTCAGGACCTCTAGAAGAACAGTCAGTGCTCTTAACCTCTGAGCCATCTCTCCAGCCCCCTTTTTTATGTTTTCTTAATGATTTTAAAACCAGCCAGGTGGTGGCGGTGGCTCATGCCTTTAATCCCAGCACTCGGGAGGCAGAGGCAGGTGGATCTCTGTCTTGAAAAACAATAAAAAAAAAAGGTTTTAAACCATGCATATGCATGTATGTCAGAGGGAAATAAGGCAGGTCCTACTGTGGGCACACATTCTCATCACCACCTATTGCAACAGATGTGCACTGAGCAAATGGCACAGGCACTGGATCCGCTAGAACCAGCTGTGAGCGGCCTGCTGTGGGTGTGGGAACTGAATGTGGATTTACTACCATAGTAGTAAATGCTCGTATCAGTGACCTCTCTGCAGGCCTCCCTCTTTTGTGGTTTTTGTGATTGTTTTAAGGGGGGGGGCACAAACCAAGGGGGTAAGAGGATACAATAATGTCCTTTATTACAAGCTCTTTTGAGAGAAAATGATCAGAAGCAATCTCTATTTAACTGGTATTTTTAAAAGGAGCTTTACCTGAAGCTAAGATAGAGAAGTATGGCATTGCTAGGGCACACGTACCATTTTCATTATGCCGATCCTGAACCAAATGCTGATAGACAGAATCTGGGACTTCAGACTGACGGTAGTACCATTTGACGTTCATGAGTAGATGGTCCCTCTTACTCTGAAAAGGAAAATCTAACAGCATTAGGAACAGGTTTCAGGTCCTGCAGGTGCACATCATACCTACGACCGACAGCCCTATACACAGTGGACTGGCAAAAAGCAGGGAATACAAGGGCATCAGCAGCGCAACCCTGGGTTCCCGGCACCACAGCCCTCAGACCATAGCCCTCAAAACTGCTCGTTTCTATAAACAAAAGAGGCAGATCTTGAAGCTTCTCAGTGTGACTAATTTATTCAGTATGACATTTTCCTTTAATGAGCACATACTTCTACTCTAACCCTTAACCATCTTGGTAATGACAACAGAGCACACTACTGAGGCATATTAAAAGTAACAAGCTGGAAAGAACTTACCCAGAGACACCTGACAGTCTCTTCCCCTCCAAGGTTTGCCTGTCACAAACTGTCTCAGATTCTCCCTCCACTGTGGGCCACAGAACTGTCTGGAAGTCACTGCTGCATGCCAGAATCACGAAGCACACCACGGGCAATAGGTGGTGATGAGAATGTGTGCCCACAGTAGGACCTGCCTTATTTCCCTCTGACTCCTGAGGACAGAACAGCTCATACATAACTACTGGTCGTGTAAATGTCTATAGGACAACTAACCATATATTTCTAAAAGTTAACTTTGTTTTCAGCACAATAAAAACGAAGGCACCAGATACTGCCTCTGCTATTTGAAGGCTACCAGGCACAGCTTGAAGTGCATTCCCTGTGTGCTGCGCTGTGGAATAGTTCAATCCAGTGAGTACGGAGGTTTCCTGGGATTAATAAAACAGCTTTAACCCAAGGTAAAGGGTGGACAATCCCTGTTGGCAGCTTCTACCTTTTTGCACAGGCTCACAGACCACAAGTGCAAAGGCCAAAGCTAAAAGAAAATGCCTCGTGTTTGGAAAGAAGCCAGCTTAATTCTAAAACATGTCAGGAATCTTTACTGAAGGAAGACACATCTTGGTTTAATAAAGGGGCAAGTATAGGCTGCACTAAAAGACGAGCAAAGGCAAGACAAGAACTGTCTTAAGTCTCAACATAACCGAGAATGTGGAATGCTCTCCCATAGTAAATATCATAAACACCATGGTCAAACAGGCATGACTACAAAACAGGGTATCAGTATTGGCTTATATTAAACAGACTTTGCATACAAAGGAAAGTGTGTAGGCCTTGGTTTTTACTCATTCATACTTTTTACATTGGAAGGTTTAGTTTGCACTGTTTAGTCTACGGAAGAAAACCTGAGGACAAACAGTACAAAAAGGTTCACAGAAAAGTTCTGAATGTAATCATTGAAAGAAAGGTGTAACCTGGGGAAGATGGAAAAGACCTCCTAAGCAAAGGCGGAGACCAGAAAGAAATGCAGACCAATTGGGAGACCAGTGTGCAGCACAAAACACTACATGCTGATACTGAAAAGGAGCCAAATCCTGGCCACAGTCTGGCCTCCGGTGGATTCGCAGGACAAACGGGGTCTTTTAACTCACCTCTGACCCCACATACAGGCACTGAGGTACACACATCAGGCACGAAGAGCACAGCTAAAGAATCTGAGGAACAGAACATGTGACGGCACCACACACGCCTTGTGGACATGAAGCGTATTCTGCCAAGACCCCAGAAAAATACTTGTCCCTCTCCTCACTTCGTTCCAAGATGAGAGAGTGAAGAACAGGACCAAGATGGTGCAGCTATTGAGAAAGTACACAACCCCAGGGCCTTCTGGGGTGTCCAGTATGAATTCACCGCAGTAAGATTATTATAAGCCTGCTTGTCTCTGCACCGCTGCCAGGTGAACAGATAATTCTGTTGTCCTGCCACTGTTGAATGTAACACTCTCCCCAAGCTCTCCCCACACTCCCCCTCTCTCTCTCTGTGTTGAAAATTAAGCCAAAGTGGGTTGAAAACCACAGATCTAAATTAAAAGATATTATTATTATTGTTACTGTTGGTATTATTATTCAGAAACCAAAGCCAGAATGATCACATGAAACCTGGCCAAAGCACTACAGAATAGAGGACACAATTAACTAGGAAACACAGGAAAGCCTATCACCATGAACTCCAATGCCATCACTACCTGTATCTGTGTGACCCTGGTAACTTTCTAAGATTCTCAATTTCTCTTTTGTCCTGTACATGAGAATATTTTAAAGAACTGGTAAAAGATGTAAAGATTACATCAGATGCCAGGTGACTGCCTAAAGAAAAGCTCCATGGCCTGCCAAAAACCCTGTGGGAAACATGGGGCCATTCTCCCTCCAAAAACAGCCTGTGTGAGGAGTGGCGCTCAACTCCAGCGGATGCTCGCAAGCTCACATTAGTGAGTACCTCCCACAACAGCCAGAATTCAGGCTACCAGCAGCCCCAGCAACTGTGCTCTAATTCCTGAGCATCTAAGCATTTCTGCAACATGTGTAAGATGCCTTAAACCTGAACTGCAACAGAAAGACTCTGGCTCATGAAAGGCAATTTTAAGTTGTCTGTTTTTTTTTCTGCACCTAGCTGGAAACTCTGGAAACCATTAGTTATTGTGCCATTGCTACATAACGAGCTGCAAGCTGACCCAGGCATGTCCACTGACTCCATATAACAAACAAACAAACAAACAAACAAACAGCCTGCTCTGGCTTATTTGTAAGTAAACCTGCAAATCTTGAAAAGCTGCTGGACTTCCTGATGCAGTCCTGCCCAATGGCCAGGGGGCGGCAGTATTGCGTCAAAAACACCAGCATTTAAACTATACTTCATTCCACAGATACAGCATAATAAAGGTAGAGTCAAATGAAACTGTGCTTCTAAATAGGCCAGTAATTTAATGAAAAACTAACAGTATCTAAAGGCATGCAGAGGGCTATTTCAGAGCACTAGGCTAAAACTGTATGGTATGACTGCAGTTCCGTCTGTAACCACTAGTTAGCTACCTTAGCATCCTGGGGCCCTCAAAAAGCGAAGGGCTGGGAGGACAGCTGGCTTCTGGGGTCTCTGCCTAGTTTATAATTACATGTCTTCCCCAGGCCAGACTCAGGAAACGACTAACTGGAACCGAAGTACATCTGCTCACTGGCGTTAGCTAGCGCTACCATCCTACAGGGTTACACAGTGCAGTGTCAGCAAGAAACGGCCTCATGCCGCTGAGTTCTTACCAAACCTTTGACCACTTTAAGAACTTTTTAAAATCAAAACTCAAGCCCAAATAACCTGAAATGTGCCATCGTATTAACAACTGAGTGGTAGTGGGGGGGGGCAAGGCAGGGAAGTCACAAGGACCCCGACACATCAGAGAGGGCGTTAAGAAAGGTGGGAATCAGGTATGGTGATATCAATGAGAATGGCAGTCAGGCTGGTATATTTCTATGTCTGGCTCCCAGTTGAACTGTTTACAAGGGTTAGAAGGTGTGGCCTTGTCAGAGGTATCACTGGGAACAGGGTTGCGGTTTCAAGAGCCCATGCCAGGTCATTGCACTCTGCCTCCCTCTCACAGAGCAGACAGTAGCTATCTGAGGAGAGCCCCCTCTCCACTACCATCATGAACTAAGCTCTGAAACTGTAGTCAAGTCCCCAATGAAACGTTTTTTTTTTTTTTTTTTTCCTTCTATAAATTAGCCTTCACAGCAATAGGACATTAACTTAAGATGCCTGAACCACAGGGCATGAAAATAATAGACGATTTACAAGTTGAATTTAACATCTTATGGTCCTAATAGCACATTACTTTAAAAACAAAAATGACCAACTAAGGGTTAAAGATATCTGGCAGAGATTTTGCTGTTAAAACTTGATGGCAAAATATTTTGAAGATTTATATTAGTCAATGTGGGTTTTATATCCTCAGTCTTCTTAGTCCCCAAAAATCTTCCCCACTCCCCTTTTTAATACAGCTCACTATGTAGACCAGGCTCATCTCAAATTCACAGAGATCCTCCTGCTGGAATTAAAAATGCCACGATGCCCAGCCCTTGGATAAATACTTAAAAATTACTGAGTTAATTTTTAAATGCTGTATTTTTAATATATGTGCATCTCTGTGGAGGAGTATATGCATATAAGTGCAGAGGCCAACAGAGGCCAGGGGGCACCAGATGCCCCTGGAGCTAGAATAGGTAGAATAGTGAGCCACCTGATGTGGGTGCTGGGAATTGAATTTGGGTTCTCTGGGAGAGCAGTATGTATGCTGGGCTGTCTTCCCAGGGTCTAGCTGTGTAGTCCTGGCTATCCTAGAACTCACTATGTAGACCAGGCTGGTCTCAAATTCACAGGGATCCACTCGCTTGGCATCCTGAGCACTGAGATTTAAGGCATGCACCACCACACTCAGCAAGACAATATTTTCAACAAACAAAATTCAGAAAATGAGGAATGTTTTATTTTCACTTTCTTCTCAGTCCTGTGGCCTCAGTGTTCTCTGACTGGCCTAAAACATCTTGTTTCATTTTGTTTGTGACCTCAGAAGTCCTACTGTGTCCATCCTCTGTGAGGTGTACTTGGGAGTGGATGCCCATGAAGAGGCACACGAAGTCATGGTATCACTATGGGACTGAAGTGATCCTGCAGCCCCTGGGGTTACACTTAAGGCCAGCTGATCTCCACAGAACGTAAGCAAGCTGCACACATGGTGGCCCTTGCCAGACTCTGTGGCTGAAACAGATCACATCTATTTTGAAGGAGCCCAGCAATACCATGCAGCTCCAGGTGCTGAGCTTTCTAAATTACCGCAAGATGGCAGATCTGGTTAACATAGCTTTTCAAAGAACAAACATTTGTACTTTCAGGGTGCTTAAGACTTGCAGATTTAGCTGGGTGTTGGTGGCGCACGCCTTTAATCCCAGCAGAGGCAGAGACAGGCAGATCTCTGTGAGTTCGAGGCCAGCCCGGTCTCCCAAGTGAGTGCCAGGACTGGCTCCAAAGCTACACAGAGAAACCCTGTCTGGAAAAATAAAACAAAAAAAGACTTGCAGATTTAGAAGTCACCATTGATTTAAGTAAAGTTTGCCCATGTAA